TATATATATATTTTTTAGAATTTTGTTATAGTTACTCTAAGTGGGTTTCTCTATCAGTTAAAGTCATGGTCTAGGGTCTCTGTACTCAATTTAAAAAAGAATTGATTATTATATAGTTGACGATTATTTCAATAATCAATTAATCATGATTAAGGCGATAAATTTTTCAGCCCTATTCCTCATTTGGCTGGTTAGTGGCAGATAAAAGAAATGGGTATCTATAATTTTTTTCTACCCTCCTGAGAAACAATAAGTTATGGGCCACCAACTAAGTCACTCTGATAAATGACAAGACATAAAGCAGAGATAAAGAAGTTGCAACAGTTACATCTATACTAAATAAACGTACTAAATTCAAGTATAGATTTTTTTTTTTCATATATTGATGCTGAAAATATCTGCTTTATGACAGTTAAACATGCCATCAATCATTAACATAAATAAGTTGGTTATCACCACATTGTAAATCAGGGCTGTTTGCCTGACCTCTGTGTTTTGCCGTGCATCCTCACAGCTGCCAAAACACTGCAGATCTTCAACATAGAGATGAAGAGTAAGATGAAGGCTCACACCACGACAGAGGAGGTTCTGTTCTGGAAGTGGATATCTGTGAACACCGTAGCTTTGGTGACGGACACGGCGGTCTACCACTGGAGCATGGAGGGGGATTCCCAGCCGACCAAAGTGTTTGATCGTCATGCCAGCCTGGCTGGATGTCAGATTATCAACTACAGAACTGATGAGCAACAGAAATGGTTACTGCTGATTGGGATTTCTGCACAGGTATAAGCTGCACAACGTATGTCATGCCTGACTGATCGTCTTCCACATATCAGTCTCATATTTTGCCTTCTGTTCACAAGCTTTAACACTTCTTGAAGGACTGTTTTATGGACTTTAAAGTCATGGAGGAGCAGATTCTGCTGTTTCTCCTTATTTTAGCTGTTTTGTACAATGGTGTACAAGGAAGAGTTTCTCCACAATGAGTCGCCATAAATTTTGAAAACAGTTACATTAGGTATAAGTCTTATTAAGAACCATGCTTTGGATCATTTAATTGGTCACTTGGATATAATATATCTCTGCCTTAATAAACAAATGCTATTTATTATTTTTCTATTTTAAGAAGATGTTCCCTTTTTTTCCCCATTTCCCGTTTTATAATTTGTTTGAGAAGTTTCAGTTGTGGCATGTGCATAATTGTACGAAATTACGAAAGTAAAAGAAATGCTAAAAACATTATGGTATAATGAATCGGTGAAGAAAAACTATTTAAAAAACAACCCATATTAAGAGTTTTTAGTTAAAGTTAGGTGCTTGAAGAAAGACATCACAGGCCTTGAAATGTTGCAAAATAGCCCTCATAAATGGAGCAAAATTATGGTATTTATCTGTTCAGATGTTTGCAGAGTATTCCTGTTCAAAGGAAAAAAAAAAAAACTTAAAATGTTACTGTATCATTTACTTGATTTTCCATTTACCGATTAGCCGTTTTTCTGCTCTTATTTTTCATCACACTTATACTTTAACTTTCAGATCATTAAATAATGTCGGAAAACCTAAGTTAAAAAACAGTTTACCAATGATGAATTAATTTGTTAATGGAATGAAACGATCTAAAAAAACTTGACCCCTGAATTTTATAACTAGTTCACCAGCCATACCAGTGGACACATTGAACTGGGTTTCTGTAAGTCGTTGGGCTTGATGATCTGAAACATCTAAGTGTGACAAAAAACAAAAATAGAGGATATCTGTAAGGTGGCAAACACTTAATTGTGCCGTTGTATTTTTATCTAGGAAATATGATGTACTCTGATGCATCATAATTAATCATTCAAGGTGCATTACCTTTAACCTTCCTGTCATAAGTACCATATGTGGGAGAGAGGAGTCTCTTTAAAACAGGGTTTAAAAAAGTTTAACCATTCTGACCAGTTGTAGTACCTTATTGGTTATTAACAAGGATAGCAGAACCAGTTTGACAAAAGCTGAAGTCTCTTTATTTCCTTAAATAAAACCAAATGTTTCAACTACTGTTCTATTATGTTGCATCGCAGTTCAACAACTTGGACAGGCTTGACAGTTCCATCAGTCTGAGGTTCAGTCTTGTTTTTCTTTGCAGCAAAACCGTGTGGTTGGGGCAATGCAGCTGTATTCGGTTGACAGGAAAGTGTCTCAGCCCATCGAAGGCCATGCTGCTGCCTTCGGGGAGTTCAAAGTGGAGGGAAATGCCAAACCTTCCACATTGTTCTGCTTTGCTGTGCGTTCACAGGCAGGAGGAAAGGTGATAGTTTGATGTATTACATTTCTTTAATGTCCTACTTGCTGTGTGTGTTTTATTTATGCATGATGACCTTCTTCTCATAGTTGCATATCATTGAAGTTGGTCAGCCAGCTGCAGGAAATCAGCCATTTGCTAAGAAAGCAGTGGATGTGTTTTTCCCACCTGAGGCCCAGACTGACTTTCCTGTAGCTATGCAGGTGAGTTTGGGGGGGGGTATACTTACTCTAACCCTTATCGATTTAGTTTGGAGGCTATATTCTTTAAATCCTCTTTTCATGTTTTGCTTATAGATTGGGAACAAACATGGCGTCATATATTTGATCACAAAATACGGTTACATTCATCTGTATGACCTGGAGTCTGGAGTGTGTATATACATGAACCGCATCAGTGCAGAGACCATCTTTGTTACTGCCCCTCATGAGGCCACCTCAGGGATCATCGGCGTTAATAAGAAGGGACAGGTAATACAAAGCTTCTGATTCATGGAATGATTTTGTTTTTAAAGTTCATTACATAAAACAAAGTTTCATCAAATGGCAGATATTCATAATTGTGTTCAGGCTTTAAGTTCATGTTGTAGTATTTTTGGGAAGCTTATGTAAGGCAAGGCAAGTTTATTTATATAGCACCTTTCAGTACAAGGACAGTTCAAAGTGCTATACTTGAATTAAACAATAAAATAAAAAAAAAACATGAAAGCAGAATAAAAGAAAGTATAGAAAAACACATGATAAAAGCAGGTAGGAAAACCAACAAAAAACAGGGTTTCGCAGACATTAAATAATTTTTTTAATTATGGCCTTGAGCGGCATTAAAATTCATTAAATGTGATTATAGTAGCATTTAAAATGCTTTATTTAAAAAAAAATGTTTATGAAAACAATTTCTTCAGATATAATTGGTTCCACGTGTTTGCGTGGAACTGCTTCCAGTTGACCGTAAAGCCGTATGTTCGGAAAAGAAGCTCGAGGCGGTGGAAAAAGCTAGAGAATTGGAAAATGCAAAATTCAACCAAAGTGTCTAGAAAATGAGGAATTCAGAACATGGCTGCAGCCTGTCGATGGTAAAGATGACGGAGGATTTTGCTGTGTTAAATTAGAGTTACTCATTCTTGTATAAACCCTGAAAAATGTTTGGACCACAACCTTAAACTAATAATACCTCAGTTAACAGTATAACTTCAACAGTCAAAGGCAGCTCTAAACAAAATGGGTTTTTAACTTTGAATTAACAGAATTCAGGTTCTCAGGACTTTTACAGTCTTCTGTTGGTTTGTTCCAGGTGAGTAGAGCATAGGAACTAAATGCTGCTTCTCCATGTTTGGTTCTAGTTCTGGGAGTACAGAGAAGGCAGGAACTAGAAGACCTCAGATGTCTGGGGGGTTAATAAACTGATAACAAATCTGTTATGTATTGATGTGCTGATCAGTGATTTATAGACTAACAAAAGGATTTTGGGGATCAATACATGGTTAAATGATAAAAACTTGATTCAATTTATAAGGCCAAGATTTTCATGGGGATTTTAGTGTGAAAACTGATACACTTCTAACCAATAGTTAACTAACCTAACCTGCAGTGAAGAGAATCAAATTATAAGGTCCTAACTTAGCAATTTACTCATACCCAGTCCATCTTTTACATATTGGTTGCATTACGGTAATAAAGGTGCCAAAACTGTATTCTAATAATGATATTTATTTTATTATTGCACTTGAGAAACGTTATGTTCACAAACAGCTACTACAGATATAATTGGTGTATTACATGTTTACTTTCTGCACCTGAAATTTTCAGGCCTGTTCTATGTTTCACATTTTTCTTTATTTTATTCCTGTTGACATACACTGACTGCCTTTTCTACCTTCTATAGGTCTTGTCAGTGTGTGTTGAAGAAGAAAATATAGTCAACTATGCCACGAACGTTCTGCAGAACCCTGATCTTGCCCTGAGGATGGCTGTGAGGTCTAATCTTGTTGGAGCTGAGGAGCTATTTGCCCGAAAGTTCAACACTCTTTTTGCCCAGGGAAGTTACTCGGAGGCTGCAAAGGTTGCCGCATCTGCACCCAAGGTATCCAGACTTACATTTTCTAATGTTTACCAGGTGCTCTCGGCTGGAGAAACATAGATTAATATGTAATGGATCATAATACAAAAAGTGAAAGTGTTAAGTTATATGAAATTGTTGTTTAATTAAGTTTTTCTTCAGCTAGCATGAAATTTGTTGATAGATTACCATCTCCTCTCTGTTGTGTGCACCCACCCTCAGGGTATCCTCCGAACAGCAGAAACCATACGGAAGTTCCAGAGTGTCCCAGCCCAGCCGGGTCAGGCCTCTCCGCTTCTCCAGTATTTTGGTATTCTTTTGGATCAGGGCCAGCTCAACAAGTTTGAGTCTCTGGAGCTGTGCAGGCCTGTCCTGCAACAGGGCCGCAAGCAGCTCCTGGAGAAATGGCTCAAGGAGGACAAGGTAGGAGAGCTCTGTGGAGGATGCCCTAATGTTTTCTGCTCATCTATAGTGTTTGTGAATTGTAATAATTACTTAATGGGACTGGTTGTGCTTTACAGCTGGAGTGCTCTGAAGAACTTGGTGACCTGGTAAAGGCTTCGGACCCAACACTTGCTCTCAGTGTTTATCTCCGAGCAAATGTCCCCAACAAAGTCATTCAGTGCTTTGCAGAGACAGGACAGTTCCAGAAGATAGTGTTATATGCTAAGAAGGTAACCAATGAGCGCAGACTTCCCTTTTCCTTTCCATGATTTATTGTAATCATCTGTATTTACTGTTTCTTTTTTTTCTTTTTTATCGTTTCCTGTTTCTATTTTATTTAACTTTAAAGAGTTCTAACAGATTCTTATATGTTTCTGTTCCTACACCTCTGTAGGTGGGGTACACCCCTGATTGGGTGTTTTTGTTAAGGAATGTAATGCGAGTAAATCCGGACCAGGGACTACAGTTTGCCCAGATGCTCGTTCAAGATGAGGAGCCACTGGCCAACATCAATCAGGTGAAATAAGCATGGTTAGGACACAGCTTGGAAATCAATGTGGATTGCTTTAAGCATTCTGTTCAATTTGACCAACTTTATCCCCAGTATAGTGAATCCATCACTCAATCATGTATCCTTCTTTCGTTTGTGCTTTCTACTCTTTTCCACCCTTAAACGACTTTTATCTGTTTTTTGCCATCTAATTCTTCCTTCTACTCTTCCTTATTTCATTTCCTTTGCTCCTTTTTTCCTATAGTTCTATTGTTCCTGTTTTTTTCCCTCTCCTTCCTTTGTTTATTTCTTTGGTCCTTTCTTCAGTCCTTCCTTCCTTCATTCCTTTCTTTGTTCCCTCCCTCGTTCTTTCCTTCGTTTCTTCCTTCGTTCCGTCTGTCCGTCGGTCCTTCCTTCCCTCCTTCCTTCCTTCCATAAAACTTACATTATAATAAATATTCTGCAATAAATTCATAGTATTTATGTTTGTACAGTAACTAATTAGGGTGGGGAAAAAGTACAGGATCTGGAAATGAAAAATGTGCTGCAAACTTTAGAAGAAAAGTGCATGTGCATGTGTTTAATGGTGCACATATAGAGCAAACTCAAGAAGTGTCTAGTATGGGAGTCAGTCAGCCTTTGTTGTTCCAGATGTGCCAGCAATGCCAAGAATTCCCTGAGTCAGTGACTCCCTCCTCCTTAAAGCCACATCCTCACTCTGCTTTGGATTAGCGCTGGAAGTTAAGCAGAAAATTTGAAGAACTGAAACATCTGGGGGGCTTTAATGTTGTGTGACCTTTACATTAACTGAAAACGATGCTCTGCAGCACAATAAAGTCTTTGATTTTCCTAACTTTGGTGTACGCTGTTTTTGTGTTTTCTTTCTGTAGATTGTTGATGTTTTCATGGAGGGCAGCCTAATTCAGCAGTGCACATCCTTTCTGTTAGATGCTTTGAAGAACAACCGCCCAGCTGAAGGACACTTACAAACACGTCTCCTTGAGATGAACCTGATTCACGCTCCACAGGTGAGCGAGGTTTTTTTTGTCTTAACTGCAAAAAAACATTAATGATGTTTATACCAAGTAGAAAGTCTGAAATATTTTTTTGTTGCACAAACAATAAGAATAAACGATGTCCAGATACAGACGCTGAGGTGTATGTATTGAACAGTTCTAGAAATACATAATTAAGGTTAGGGCTCGCAAATAATTGGTAAAATCAATGAATCAGTCAAGTTTTCTCTTTATTATTACATTTTTGGGAAATCTGTGGCTTATTTATTCACCAATTCAGTTGTTAGCTCAGGTGGACATCAGTTTATAGATACTGAAACTAATAAACTAGCTGACTGTGCAACATCTCTAACTGTAAATATTTATTCTCATTGTTTGTTGCAAACACTGTTTAACAAGAATTTTCACAGCTTGAATTTCATTGCCCTTTATTTTAAAGTCACCTCCCAAAGGGAATGAAATAAAAGTTAGTGATTCAACCGCATGTGTATCTTTTGTCGTTTTTATTATGAAACTAAAGGGAGAAAAACAAGTCGATTAATCTGATAAGATAGGAAAAAAATAGCAGATTTTTTTAAGACAAAGCACCAGTTAATGTTATGTATTCTGGAACAGCTGCTTTCTTAACCTAGTAGTTTATAATTTATTTTCAAGGTATTCACTCCTAACCTAACACCATCTTAGAACCTTTAATGGCTATAAATCAGCTGAAGTTTTTTCATATTAAACAAAACAAAATGAGGCAGATAACAGAAAAGTAGAAAGAAAATGTTAAATGTCTAACAAATCCCAGTAGGTAGGTACGTTATGTTGTAACTGGTTAGCTCAGGATTCTTTTCCTGTTGTAAGAACAACTTCTAACTTACCATAGTCTAAAGTCTCTTCAGGCTCTAAAAAGATTGCCCAGGATTGCCTTAATCCAACTGGCTCACAGTATAATGCTGCCACCTCCATGCTTTATCAAGGGGATTCTGTGTTTAGGATGTGGTCTTATTTGCCAAAATTTGCTCGTTCTATATGTTGTGTTTGTGTTTAGCGGAACTTTTCACAGTTTTCTTTCAACACTTTTTTTTTTTTAACCAAAAGTTCAGATGCAACCAATAGTTGTCACGTTGACAGTTTCTCCTGTTTTCTTTTTATCTCTGCTGCATCTCCACAGTAAACAGCCCCTTGGCTGCTCTTGAATAAAACTCTCCTTGACTTAGGTGTAGCATCATGTTTGGGTATATTTGTAGTTGTTTAAACTCCACATTTTCATAATAAAGAGTGCTTTATTTATAGTTTTCAAAGCTGTAAATTCTCTCTATTTTTCTGCTGTGGTTTTTCATGTTTGCTGTTAGATCAGTAATATTATTTACAACCCTTTGCCGTCTGAAGGAAAAGTGAAGTTTCAAGTAACAGTAAAGTAGGAATTTCTGACCTTAAAATGAACCCATTCATCTCCTGCCGTAGATGGATGCTTTGAAGTGAAATGTCGCTCTTAATTTGATCTGTGCGTTGATGCATGTAATGAACATTTTCAGGTAGCAGATGCGATCCTGGGGAACCAGATGTTCACCCACTATGATCGGGCCCATGTCGCTCAGCTGTGTGAGAAGGCAGGACTTCTGCAGAGAGCACTTGAACACTACACCGACCTGTACGATATCAAACGAGCTGTGGTGCACACACATCTGCTCAACCCTGAGGTACGCCTATAGCAGCGCAGCCAATTTTGTAAATACAGCTCCATTGGGAGCCGTTAGGATTTTATTGTCTTGATGCATAGAGATGCTTTTAATCTCTTCCTTTGCATTCAATTTTTTTTAATTTTTTTGTTTTGCTTTTCAGTGGCTGGTAAACTTTTTCGGCTCCTTGTCTGTGGATGACTCTTTGGAGTGTTTAAGGGCCATGCTGTCTGCTAACATAAGGCAGAACCTGCAGCTGTGCGTGCAGGTAGCATCAAAGTATCATGAGCAGCTGGGAACCCAGGCGCTAGTCGAGCTCTTTGAGTCCTTCAAAAGTTATGAAGGTAGGTGTGTAGGCATTTCTGTTTAGTTCAAGTTTTAATGATTTATTTTTATTACATAATGAATTATTTCCTATCAGTGGTAAAAAAATGACTTTTCTCTTTCTAGGTTTGTTTTACTTCCTGGGCTCCATTGTCAATTTCAGCCAGGAGCCTGATGTTCACTTTAAATACATCCAGGCTGCTTGTAAGACTGGTCAAATTAAAGAGGTGGAGCGAATTTGTAGAGAGAGCAACTGCTACGACGCAGAGAGGGTTAAAAATTTCCTGAAGGTATAACTGCTGCTTCCTATGTGCAAAAGAGCAACTCTCACCTCTCCTTCACAGATGATCACACTATTCTCATGTTGCTGCTGTTCACAGGAGGCCAAGTTAACAGACCAGCTTCCCCTCATCATTGTGTGCGATCGCTTTGACTTTGTCCATGATCTGGTGCTCTATCTTTACCGCAACAATTTGCAGAAATACATTGAAATCTATGTTCAGAAGGTAAGATGGAGGCCCTATACTTGATGTCCTACTCCACAGGTCCTCAGCTTATCTATGCCTCACTCTATGAATGTTACTTGATTATTTAGAATTTGATCCATGCATTAACAGGTGAATCCTAGTCGGTTGCCAGTGGTGATCGGTGGTTTGTTGGATGTAGACTGTTCTGAGGACGTCATCAAGAACCTGATCATGGTGGTCAGAGGACAGTTTTCCACAGATGAGCTGGTGGACGAGGTGGAAAAGAGGAACAGGTGAGGTCTGAATACACTGCAAAGCCATCCTCTCTCCCATTTTTCCCTCTGCTGTTCGGTTCTAATTTCATTTAATTTCTTCTCTCTATACATAATTCTTTAGAAGTCATCTATGCAGTCAGACATCAATTCATAGTGTTCTACAGTTTTGAAAGCTTCCATACAGGCTGATCCAAGACTTTTTGGGATACTAACTGTAGCAACATTAGTCCTTGTGTGTTAGTCTCTGTGAGGTTCATATACCAACTTCTTAGATTAACATTCCCAAATCACTGTTAAAATTTCCCATCATAAACAACTAGTCTTTAAAAAATAAAAAAAAACACTTCTAGAATTTGAAGAAAAGATGTGTTTTCTTTAAATCTCAAGTAAGAAACCATACCCCCTTCTTTGGTTGATATGTCTTTTTTTAACAGACCAGTGAATTAGTTTAGGGCTGAAACTAACAATTACTTTACTAATCGATTATTCTGTTTGTTTTTTTTTCAACTAAAACTTTACCTCTTGAGGAACTTTGGTAGGAGCATATTGACAGACCAAAAAAGGTTTTTTTAATCTTAAATGCAAAACATTTTTTTATATATCATTTTGGTATAGTTACTGCTCTAAGTTGGTTGTTCTCTTAGTTAAAGGCATGTATTAGTCTCTATACTCTGGTTAATGATTATTGTGATTGTTTCAGCTATACATTTGTTAGAGAATATATTTACCTCTTTACCTTTTCAGGTTGAAGCTTCTGCTGCCATGGCTGGAGTCACGCATTCATGAAGGCTGTGAGGAGCCGGCTACCCATAATGCATTGGCCAAGATCTACATCGACAGTAACAACACACCGGAGCGCTTTCTGAAGGAGAACCCATTCTATGACAGCGCCGTGGTCGGGCGGTACTGTGAGAAAAGAGACCCCCACCTGGCCTGTGTGGCTTATGAGAGGGGGCAGTGTGACCTGGAGCTCATCAAAGTGTGTAAATCCCATCAGCCTGACTTTAGAAAACTCAATATGCAGATGTCTTTAACTGTTTTTATATTCTCTCAGGTGTGCAATGAGAATTCATTATTTAAGAGTGAAGCTCGATATCTGGTACGACGGAAAGATCCTGAACTTTGGGCTAAAGTGTTGGAGGAAAACAACCCTTACAGAAGGCAGCTCATCGATCAGGTTTAATTCATTTAACACCAGTCCTCAAGGCACTAAATTTCTACCCTCATCTTTATTTATTTATTAATTTTTTTTTGTATTGCCACCCTCAGGTGGTGCAGACAGCTCTGTCCGAGACCCAGGATCCAGAGGAGGTGTCAGTCACAGTCAAGGCCTTCATGACTGCAGACCTGCCAAACGAGCTAATTGAGCTGCTGGAGAAGATTGTTCTGGATAACTCTGTCTTCAGTGAGCACAGGTAATTTGGGACACATGGCTTCTTGGTAAATCTGCAATGCAAGTATCCATTTGTTTTAATAAATTAAACTTTTCACAGGAACCTCCAGAATCTGCTGATTTTAACAGCTATCAAAGCTGACCGCACTCGTGTGATGGAGTACATCAACAGGCTAGATAACTACGACGCTCCTGATATCGCTAACATCGCTATTAGCAATGAGCTCTTTGAAGAAGCGTTTGCTATTTTTAAGAAGTTTGATGTGAACACCTCAGCCATTCAGGTAAAAGCAAAGAACCAATTATAGACCGATATTGATTAATGCAGACATTAACCCAGACTCGGGTTAATTTACAGCTCAAAACACACACAACACGTTATTTGGTATTGTTGAACATATTTTCTTTTCTTTTTTTGTGTTTTATAAAAACGTGAGTCAAGAAATTTTCTACATACCAAACTGAAAGATTGTTGTTCTCCACTTCAAAAACAATTTAGATTTTAAAATGGAGAAACTTTCTATTTTTTTTATTTCAAAATTTTATGTATAACATGGATGCATAAATACCTGCATTTTATTTCAGAGTTAAATGCTGTATAAAGTAACGGATTATAATTAAAACTGTCTCCGGACCTTTACTGGTTGTTGATTTTCTTTCTTTGGACCCGCCTGCTTTTTAATTGGTTACCCCCGCTATAGACTGTGGATCCTTCCTTAATTTCTTTGATTTGTATAATGACATAGCCCTAAAACAGCCTGGAGTAGAAAATAAGGTTGAAAATGTTTTTATTATGATTCATATATTTAGGCCATAAAATTATTCTCAAATTAAAATATTACATATATTCAGAGTTGTGGGATTTTTACAAGTTTTCTCTTCAAGGATACATTTTCATGTTAAGATATAAACAAAGCCCAAATAATAAACACATTTATGTTAAATTTGATGAAGATTAATGATACATTTTTACATTATTTGGTCATTTAAATTACACATAACACTTTTATTCTTGTTTTTATAAATCCCCTTCAGTTAAAACAAAGCCTATAAAATAATATAAAAACGCACTGCTTTGTAAAAAAAAACATTCTGAACAAGATTGAACAATGCCATTTAGTCCATTTTCCATTTTTTTGAGCCCTTTGTATCAAATTTTCCTAGTGACTATGCTCATATATTAGTTTTTTTCAAAATAAGTTTGATTAGTATGATATTGATATAGATTTGTTCGGCAGCCATTTTCTTGTTGCATCTCTACTCTTCTGATCTTCTCACCAATCATTGAGTCTTGCTTTTTTTCCCACCTTTTTTGTAGGTTTTGATCGAGCATATAGGGAACTTGGATCGAGCCTACGAGTTTGCCGAACGCTGTAATGAGCCTGCAGTCTGGAGTCAGTTAGCTAGAGCTCAGCTACACAGAGACCTGGTCAAAGAGGCCATTGACTCCTATATCAAAGCTGTGGATCCATCGGCATACATGGAGGTGGTTAATGCAGCCAGCAAGAACAGTAAGCCACTGCTTTGCAGAATATCTGTGCCGCTTCAGTGTGTCTCAGCTTCTGATTGAGTGTCTTTGTTGCAGATAACTGGGAGGACTTGGTGAAGTTCCTACAGATGGCTCGTAAAAAGGCCAGAGAGTCGTATGTAGAGACGGAGCTGATTTTTGCTTTGGCTAAAACAAACCGACTGGCCGAGCTAGAAGAGTTTGTCAGTGGGCCCAATAATGCTCACATTCAGCAGGTAAAAAACAGCACAGGAATTGTGGGGTCAAACAGTTTGAAAGGGTACAAATAGTTTTCCTTTTAGGCCCTTTATGATCCAAGTTAACCTAGATGGCATAGATTTAGGTACTGTTATAAAGTACTGTTTTCAACTATTGAGTTATTCACCTTTTTTTCCCCCCATAAAATGCAAACTAGGCAAAACTTGTGATCATTTAATTTCAGGTGGGGGACAGGTGCTATGATGAGGGAATGTACGAAGCGGCTAAACTTTTGTACAACAACGTGTCCAACTTTGCTCGACTTGCGTCTACATTAGTTCACCTTGGAGAGTACCAGGCAGCTGTGGACAGCGCCAGGAAAGCCAACAGCACCCGGACCTGGAAGGAGGTAAAAGACACAGAAACACCTCCATTTACTAGATCCTTGACTACTAATCATCAACTATTTTCCTTTTAGTGTAAGGAAATAATCTAGAAAATAAAAAGAAATGCAGTCAGATGTGGTTTACAAAGCCTTGATAACCTGTTTAAATCAGTTTGAATTTTAAATGTTAATGTCCTCTTTTATAAGGAAACATTCCTATTGAGGAGTCAGAGAATTTAGCAGCTTCAAATACCTTTGTTGTTTAGAGAAATCATTTTCCCTTGTAATTTTTTCCTGCTCTGATTGTATTCAGTTTCCTGTTTTAGTTAATTTATGCTCTTGCAATTTTCATACTGAGAACAAAACAAAACCTGATTATGAAAAGAAATTGGACTTGAGATCATATTTTTGCAAAAATCCACCTATTTAGGGAAATAAACTTGAATACAATCCTAAGGCTCTCTGCTAGATAGGCTTAAAAAAAAAAAAGCACAGACATGATTTTTATATTATGACCTTTCCATTTATGTTTCTTTCCCTAAACTCAACAGGTTTGCTTTGCATGTGTTGACGGCGAGGAGTTTCGGCTGGCGCAGATCTGTGGTCTTCACATTGTGATCCACGCCGATGAGCTAGAAGACCTGATTAGTTACTATCAGGACCGCGGGTACTTCGAGGAGCTCATTGCTCTGCTGGAGGCCGCGCTGGGCCTGGAGCGGGCCCACATGGGGATGTTTACTGAGCTCGCCATCCTCTACTCCAAGTTCAAACCTCAGAAAATGAGGGAGCACCTGGAGCTCTTCTGGTCAAGAGTTAACATCCCAAAGGTAGATCATCTCTGGGTATAGGTTTGGAAGATGGGAGATTGTTTTCTGCAAAACTGTTATTTAAAACCAAACCAATAATCAGTATTTCTAGTCTTCTAATCGAAAATTATTCAATTATGATTCATTAAATCATTTGATTTCAGTTTTTTAGAAGAATGTTATAATATAGGATTTATTGTAAAAGTATCAAAATAAATTTCAGCTGCTTTACATAAATATGGTGTTAGTTAGCTTCTGGAAAGTAGACTTTATATCCTGTTTGTCTGGTTTCCAGGTTCTCCGAGCAGCCGAGCAGTCTCATTTATGGGCAGAGCTGGTTTTCCTTTACGATAAATATGAGGAGTATGACAACGCAGTCATCACTATGATGAACCATGCAACAGATGCATGGAAAGAAGGGCTGTTTAAAGACATCATTGCCAAGGTAAGCACCTGTAACCTATTAGAATACTTATTTCTACAGTTTTTAAAATAAAATTCATACTACTACCATTGTTTTAATAAGCAACAAAAACTGTTCACCACAAAATGTGTCCTCATAAACATGAAAGGACCTTCCTAAGATATGTTCCTAAAGAAATTTAAATCCTATTTCAAAAGCAAGTAAATCCTGCTTACCTTTCATTAGAACTCATGTAAAAATCAGAAATGAATGCTCGTTTATCTTGCTCCTACAATAACATAAACTATGAACCTACTTTTTCTAAGTCTTTATCATGGTATTTATTTGTATGTTCATTATGCGTTTTATTTGCTTTTGACTCAGACGTCATGAAAACATTTTTGCTTGATTGAATGGGAACAAAGACATAAGGCTCATCAAATAAGCAAAATACAACATTTTCTTTTAGCTTAAATGCCATTGGTAGAGAGCTAGCCTGTATAGCTTTAACTGATACTTTAAACCATTTTCTTTGGTGGTTCAGAGCTTAGACCTCTCTGAAAGTCTGATCTTTGTACATTGTCTAACCTCTTCAGATCCAGATTGTTGGTTTACTTATTTGTTTCTTTCCCTTTTTTTTTTTTTTTAAACATTTTCTGCATCAGTTTTTGTCACTCAAAAGTCTTAATCTCTTAAAATGAAATGTTTATTTCTAAATTTCTTATAAATCATCCTTACATGTGTTGTGTTTTTACTTTCAGGTTGCCAATGTTGAGTTGTACTATAAAGCTCTTTTTTTCTACCTGGAATACAAACCTCTCCTCATTAATGACCTGCTGACTATTTTGTCTCCACGGTTGGACCACAATCGAGCCGTCAGCTTTTTTTCTAAGGTAAGCTCCTTTGAAGAAGGCAAACTTTGCAGTGCATTATCTCCTGTGTCTTGGAAAGGCTGTTCAGTTCATTATTATGATGGATTTTGTACTTTGCATGACCAGATGAATCAGCTGAAGTTGGTCAAACCTTACTTGAGATCGGTCCAGAATCACAACAATAAGGCCGTCAACGAAGCGCTCAACAACTTACTTACAGAAGAGGAAGACTATCAGGTCTGTAGTTCAAAGGTTGTGGAACAGTGTGGTAGTTTTTTTTCTTTGCTTAAACTGACTGTGCTGCTTAAATGTTTGAGGCTATCTGTGTTAAGGTTAGACGGTTTCTTGGAGGTGATGTGGTTCTTATTGCGACTCTCATAATGCATCTAAATTTGTAGTTTATTTAGATCAGACATTTACTGTTGGAAAAGGCTTTTTTTCATCACTGTTAAATGTATGCATGTAATCCGTAGGATTTGTTTTCACTGATTTGTGTTTTTTTTTTTTTTTTTTGCAGAGCCTGAGGGCCTCCATCGATGCTTACGATAACTTTGACACCATCGGCCTGGCTCAGAGGTTAGAGAAACACGAACTGATCGAGTTCAGACGCATCGCTGCTTATCTGTACAAAAGAAACAACCGCTGGAGGCAGAGTGTGGAGCTTTGCAAGAAGGACAAACTATACAAGGTAGAAAAAACCAAAACATGTATCAACAGATTACCTATATTGTGATATTAATAGGTTATCGTGCCACATTAATTATACTGAATCACATTAATTATAAACTGTAATTCACTTTAAAATGATTTGATTAGGATTCCAGGTTATTAGATTTTATTTATTTTTTTTTTTACCATTTGTACCTCTGGTGGCTCCATGAAATTAACTATAAATGCTTTATTTACATTCCAGTATATCAGATTAAATGTCATCCTTGTTTACTATTTCTAAACAGTGTTGCTACTCGGTGCCAAACACCACAGATGTGCTGCAGTAACTGTTGTGAATGTAGTAATGCTTCTGATATTTTATTTCTTTTTATCTTTTGTGAAACTTTGTATGCCATGATGAATTTACAGACAACCCAACCAACAGCAAACATACACACACATTTCTTAAGGGTTCAAGTAAATTGAAGAATATATTAACTTAATTTAAAACAAAAGCAAAAAAAATGATTTACTAAGTACAGGTTTCTGATAAATGTGACAAAAGGAAAGAAGGATGATGGAGTCATGAGGTGCTGCTATGCAAACACAAATCATCCTGTTAAGACCAATTGTATAACCTTGTCGGCTTAGCTTTAACATACTTTATAACCTGGTATCAGTCAGGAGTAGATGGCTGATGAGAAATATTTGCTATTCTTAATGAAGCCATGTTTGTCGACATAGACTATGACATCTAGTGTGTTATAATGCATGTTTTTTTTAATCTAAATCATTAGTATCAGCCCTATACAGATAGAGTATTTGATGGGATTGAGCCCATATATGTTTTTTTTTTCACTATAAAATAGTTATTTCACCTCCCAGCAGATGGTGCTATAGGTCTATTTCTATCTTCAATATCAGGTGAATAAACTTCTCTTCATGTTGTTTCCCAGGATGCAATGCTCTTCGCTGCAGAGTCCAAGGATGCAGAGCTGGCCGAAACTCTGCTGCAGTGGTTCCTGGAGGAGGACAGGAAGGAGTGCTTTGCCGCCTGCCTGTTTGCCTCCTATGACCTCCTCCACCCTGATGTGGTGCTGGAACTTGCCTGGAGGCACAACATAATGGACTTTGCCATGCCCTACTTCATTCAAGTTATGAGAGAGTATCTCACTAAGGTGAGAGGACAATAACTGACCACTCTATGTATTACAACAGGTTTTATTTTTTTGGATTTTGGCAAAATATTCCAGCACAAAAATAAGTTTTTATTTTTACGTTTCATCTTGGGAAAAAATATACAATAGCCGGCATACAAAGACAAAGAAGACAGAACTGATTGTCTCGTAAAGTTTGACCCTGTGGACATGTTCAGTCATCTCTTTGGGTTCTTTTTCAGGTTGATGAATTTGCAGCGAAGGTGACGGTCTCTGGCCCCCTCTTTTTATTTTTAAAACATTTGTTTGTGCTCTGTTTGTTTTCTTTTGTAACACTGTAGGAACGTAGCATGGACAGTAGACTGAGCACGACCTAACCAGCCCCGATCCTGTGGTTGCAGAGCGCAGGCTTTTGTTCCACACCAACCACCACCAATACATTTTTATTTTACCAGCTGAAAAACAAATAACTTGAGCAATTATATAAAAATATTTGGAGCAGTTATCTAAAGTCAAAATAAAAACGGATAAAGCAAGAAACTATATTTCTTAACACCCTAAAATGTATTTTTTTGTTATACAATCATACAACAAATATACTGTATAGTAATTGGTTAATCAGGCTAAACTAAAATATATTTATTTTCTTTGCCTTTTAACATAGCAAAAATGAATATAAAAGAGCATGTAGACACACCAAGGCAGTTTTACATGGGGTTCACTGATACACAGCTGGTGTTATCTGAGCAATTTACTTTTACAAAAACACACAAACAAGAAGTTGTTGAGCAAAGTATTCAGCCTTTTGTCTGTTCTTCTCTTTACAGGGCAACACAAGTACAAATAATCTGGATATTTGCCTTTTTCAAGCCATAGCCTTTTGAAACCTTGGCCTACCTTCATTCTAGAAACTGTGTGATGGTGGTCGGAGCTAAAGCCTGCTCACAATTTTTTTTTTTTTCTTCAGGACTACATATGAGTCTGTCCTGGTCTAACAAAACCCTCTTACCCTTTAACTTGGCCCTCATGGGGCTGCATCTAATGCTGAGTGGCACTTTTAAAATGGGGACAAGATGGAGTTCAATAACAAGGAGCCATGCTGTCCCTTAGACACCTTTTAAATCTGACTTTTTTTTCTGTTCTGTACATCTCTTAATTGACAGTAAGGTCTCCACACGTAGCCAGAGGTTGAAGTTACCACTTTGGATCAGGTGTTACACACCTGATCAACATTGTGATGTAACTAAGCAGGGAAGCAAGATTATGGTGCACAACCTTGCCCATATTTGAAGCAATAATTTGAAAAACCTGAAGAAATGTTTTTGATTCATTTTAACTCAACTCAAAATTGTTGGAGACACATTGGATCTGGAATGACATTGCATGCTATGAAAATGCACATGCCCGGAAAAGCAGAGGGCTGTGCAGTAAAGTGGTCATTAGAAAAAATGCACCACTCAAAAGCTCCTTAGATGCAACCCCATGTTTCTAACAGCAGGGAAAGCTTTCTAGTTTTTAACTGCAGGCTTCAAACAAAGAAAAGTGGGAGCCTCCTTTCTCCTTTTCCCTGGCAGTTCTTTGGCTTTAATTCTAAGTTGGTGATTTAAAGCATTAATTTAAAAAAATATTCACATTCACCGTGAATAAGATTCCTAAGTGCTTTTCAAGTGCAGTTTGACCTTTGTGACTTTCTTAAAACCATTTTTTAAACTTCCAACTCAATAGAAATCAACACTGATTGAGGTGCACCGCTGTTTAAGCTGATTCCACTTACATAAGAGCCCCTTTACGTCCATTAGTATCTACAGTTAAAGCTCAGCCTCTTTCTCCAAAGTGCTATTAGCAGTTCTGTCACAAAGACTGGACGTTTGCCTGGAAAATGAAATTAAACATGGGAGCTTCTTTTGATTAATGAGCTCAGCGCTATGAATAAGATGCATGTGATGGCTCTGCTTCTAATGACGGTGATCTGGCTATAGGCATGTATATAGGCTATGTAGCTTCATATCTCCCAATAATATTTCTTTAACCCTGATGTGTTTATAATCCTACCTATAAAGGGTCAGTTCACAGACTTTCTTTGTTTAGTGATGAAAGTATTTTAAAGTAAATCTGAATGTGTTTAATTACATGTCTTTCCAGTTGATTGTGCAATCAGACCGTCTAAAGGGAGCCAACGACACCCCCGTCTACCCCTGTGTAGGGAATAAAAAGGATATCCTGAATTTGGCAACAATATGCATTTTGTTTCCATTTAACTTTGGCGAACTGACCCTTTTAATTTTACTGGTAGCTCTTTTAGACATTTCTCACCAGCCCTGCATGACGTCTTCTCTGTGGTAGCCATAGCTACACTGTGAGGTACAGTGCGTTTGCCATGATGTTTTTATAGTGACTCTGATTTATATTTACTTTCTAATGGTAAATAGGACGTTAGGAAAAAAGTGATAATATAACTGTTTTATGACAGCCGAAAATAAACTATTAAAATAAAGAGTTTACATCTTTGTGACAATATCAGTGTAGCTGGAAGTTTTTTAATTAACTGCTATATTTTGTTTCTCTTACAAGCTAATCCAGCACAGTAAAACAATGAAACTACAGCTGTATATTCATTTTTAGCAGGAAGATCTCTGACAGGTCGCACACTTTGGAGAATTTTTCATCTGTGTTCTTTGCTGCCCTCAGGTGGATAAACTGGAGGAGGCAGAAAGCCATAGAAAAACTGAGGATGATGTGAAGGAGCCTCAGCAGATGGTGTTTGGTAAGTTTGGATTGCTGAATTAAGTGAAAATAATGCTATTTAATGGGACTTCTAAATTTCTGCTTTTTATAGTAAAAAAGTTAAATTTTATAGTACTCATAATTGTTTCAAACTAAAGCGTTCATTGTTTGCGTTTCAGGCTGAGGTGTGTTTCTGTCTTTCTTGGATAAACCTTAAAGCGTTGTTTTTCTGTGTTACCAGGCCAGCAGCTGATGTTGCCCGCCGCTGCTTCTCCTGTGGCTCCTCAGCCAGCATACCCGGCTTACGGCTATCCTGCCCCTAACAATGCTACTCCCGCCGCCGCTGGTTACCCTGCTCAGCCCCCCTACGGCTACAACATGTAGACTCCCGAGTCCTCATTTTATTCCAGCCATTTCTCCTGGTTCCGTTCATCTGAGGGAAAAAAAATGATGCACACCTAACCTGAAACCTGCAGCCCAGAGTCCCACCTTCCAACGATTCTCTGACCTCACTGACTGAAAATGCAGTAGAATCTTCATCTCAAGTTTCTTTATGCTCTGTTTAAACGAGTAATCAGAGACATTATCAGTCCTACGGCGACCTCCCTGCCATCTTTCCACTCGGACATTAACGACTGCATCAATAATCTGAACTGCATGAATTCGCTTCTCAGCTGCTGGAGGAGCACCTTTACTTTCACCAAACCACTCTGCCCCCTTGCTGTTCCATTTAGACTTTAACCATAGAGTTTCTTTGTTTTAGTTATTTTTTCGCACTGATGAAGAAGAGACTTATTTGAGAAGCAGCGGGAGATGGAAGGAATGTGTTTGCTTCTTCTTCTTCTTCCTGTTGAAAGCACTGTTGCGGCCTTATTTAATCTGAGGTGGCTTGTTTGTCTCACAATTGGATTCACATCTGTGTCATGCTCTGTTAGGAATGACAGTTTCTGTGCAATAGTTCATTGTGTCATTTCACAACAGTTACAAGTATTTGCAGGATGCAGACTAATGACCACTAGTGAATAAGGTTACAGTCTGTGAAGAGCGTTTCTATGTAAGGAGCCTCTGGGGTTTTTGTGGACTCAGTGAAACCTTCACCCATCACACACCTGATTTCGTCATTGGACTTTTCAGAGACCCTAAATTGGACGTCCGAGGAGAAAAAAAAAATGTTAGAGAAGAAGAAAGCTGGTCAAAATTAATAATAGGTGCATGTGCTGCCAATTCATAATTCTGCAACCAGGAGCACAACTGTCATGTCACACTCAACTATATGAAGTATTACAGATTTTGTGTCCAAAACAAAGATGTATGATACAAAAAAACTTCCCACCAAATAAAGACAAAAAAGATGTGGTGAAGCTTCAAGTCTAGAGATATAACACCTCCTGGTGCCAGTTGGGTAAACAAAACCGTGTATAAATTAAATGTAATAAAAATTCCTAACATTAGAAGTAAAATAGTATGAAACACTATATGTATTGCTTATAATGTGTTGTAGTCCTAATGGAAAAAAAAAAGTATGAAGATTTTTTTTTGTAAGAAAAAGGTCAAAACAGCAGCTTAATAAAAGGTGAAGTCTTGAGGCAAACCTGTGTAAAGTGGTCATTTTTTTATCTGTCATTAACTTGGTTAAAATTCATAAACATCTGTTTCTTTTTATATGATACTGATTCAAATCTGGTTTGCATGAATTAAAGCGCTGATTCTTCATGCTAACCGAGCCCCGGCTGCTTTAACAGTGGTTTAGCTGATTTTTGGTTTTGGTGTCTCTGAATTTCCTCCTTATAGCAGTCTATAGATGGATTCTACTGGGTTTAGGTCAGGTTAGTTTGAAGGTCCTTAAAGCACAGCGACGCTACAGTCTTTAAAGTAGTTATTGATAGTTTTGCCAGTGTGGACAGGCATCAAATTGTGTTTGAATCCATAAAACTTGACTGCAGAGGAAAGCATAGAAGGCTGTAAAACGTCCTGGTACAGATCTGCGATGGTTAGACTTGGAAAAACCCCAGCGGAGCAAATCATCACGGACAGTTAAAATTTCAGACTGGAGCTGAAGCGAATTGGATTCTGTGCTACTTTTATTGCGACATCTTCAACCAGGATCTCTAAACTAGGACTTTAGACCAATGGGCCAGCAGTTCAGTCCTTGAACTTGGTATCCAGGTAAGACTACTCTGATGTCACTGGCTCAGAAGGGGCTCACTGCAAAAAAAATAGAAATAGAAATCGAAGTCATTTTTTCTTAAATGTGTTTTTTCTTGAATTGAGGTAAGTGAGACACACTTTGCCAATAGAACAAGACAATTTACATTTAAAATAATTGCATTGTCTTATTTCAAGTGAATGTTATCCAATTATCTTAGAAATACTAATTCTATTGGCAAATCATCTTATTTAGCTACACAAATTAGGAGTACCGGTAAATAAACTTAGATTCAGACATTTTTACTTATTTCCGGATCATTTTTGCTGTGCTTAACAGAAACAGAAAGAGCCCAAGTCTATGGTGCTTCTCTGCAGTCCACACCCTGTGGATCTCTTCTGTTAAAGGCTGTTGTTTGATCCTGTTGTCACTCTTTTCTGTTACTTTTATTTTCCTTCCACTCAACCTTTCATGAAACGCTTAGAAACTGCTCTCTGTAATAGGAAAATGCCAACGATTGTCTTCTAAAACATCAAGTCAGCAGTCCCCATGATGATGCAGGTCGTGATGGCATTTCTGGATTAAAAATGTTCTCTGTTGTCTTGATATAAATTTGTTTTAAACTGTTGAGGTTTAACTTTGAGTCACTATTACAATTAACAGAAAATACTTTAAACATCATTGGTCATGTTTAATTAACCTGTACAACTAAAACTGATTTATCAAACAGCTGGTTGCCATTAAATACTGTAGAGAAAAATGACACCGAGTGGTTATTGTCACACATATGTTTCTTGAGAAATTAGTTAAAATATTAGAAGATGGGCTTTTCTTTTGAGTGTTTTTTTTTCTTCTCTCCATCCATTTGGTCCAGATGACATTTTTGGTAACTGGGCAACCAGGACATGATTGATGGCCAGAGCTCCAGCCTCTTTACCCAGGGAGGGCGTGGTTGGATGCTTGGATTTGTTGTAAAATAGATATAATGGATTATTGAAGTAGGTTGTTTAGAAAAAAAAACAAATAAGATCACATTCATCCTTTTATTTCCTAGTGTCTGCATTTGCGATCAACAAAAAAAGGGTTGTTTTGCCCCACCCTTTTTTTAATATCTACGAAAATGCCCCTTTTTTATTTTTTTTAAAAAGTCACTAGACCATAATGACTTGCTTTGATGTCTGTGGCAATAAACTTCACGAATGTTCTCGGGAAATTAAGCCTAATTAGATCGCATAACTAAATATTTATTCATCCTTTCTTCCGCGAGCGTTGCGCTATTACGCACAGCCCTCCAGCACCGATATTTCTATGGTAACAATCAACATCTACGTTGAAATGAGTCGTTCTGAACAACTTCCCTGATTGTATCCGCCCACTGTCACTCTGATATCCGGGAGTCTGTCCGGGAGCAGCTCAGAGATCACCTTCATCCAGGGGAGCGCACCGGCGACCAGCCCGTCTGCTGCTGCTGCTGCTGCTGCGCGCTTTTCTTTACTTGGATAGGGGAAAAATAGTAAAAAAAAAAACAAAAAAAAAAAAACAAAAAGCAAATATCAACAGATTTAAACAAATTCAGTTTTTTTGTGTGTGTAATAATGCAGGATCCAAGCGCTTTTTTCAGCCCTTTTTGCAGACCGCGATGTCTGGCGGCGGCGGCTCCGGCTGGAAGAGCGAAACTAACTCATCCAGGAAAAGCGATTCTGGCAGGTGAGTGAGTTCATCACAGTAACAGGATTAGGGCCAATGAAAAAATTAAA